ATTCTCTTAAAATTGTCTTTTTTGACATATGTTACCTAGAATATCACTCATAAATGCCTAACTATTACCACAATGCAAAACCAATTTTTTTTTTATTTAAGTTGAAATCATAAGATGTTTTTACTGTAAATAAATTCCTCAAATGATTCTTCCTGTAATACTAAGACTAAAAGGTAAAAATAAGCAAATTAAGTCATGGGTCACATACCACATTTTGGTCAATGACAGACTATATATGTGACAGTGGTCCCATAGATTATAATGATGCTGAAAGATTCTTATCACCTGGTTGTTAGGTAGATTAGTTGGCCACGAATAAGTGGGTAGAGGGAAAGGATGATGAAGGATAGATATCAGGCCTATGCACCAAGAAAAATTCAGGAATCATAAAACGGAAACAGTGGGGAAACTTATGTAACTGGGCAAGCATTTGGGAATGAGATCTGAATGTCTAATCTTCCACAAACTGTAGAGAATTATAAACCCTGGAGGGAATTATTACTTAAAATCCTGGTGACCTTAACTGAAACAGATGAGCATCTGAGAAGTGGTTTCTGGTATATCGAAACATTCCCCACACACCAGCTACAGCTAATTATAACCCCTCAGGGGGCACTATTTTTTTTTTTTTTTCAGAAAATGTCATCATTATTTCTTGCAACCAAGTTACTGGAACCTTATTATGTAAACTATGCCACAACCATCCTGTCTACCAGAATATTGAGACCCTCACAAAGAAAGCTTGCTGAAAGCTATCCAAAGGGTAATAAACTAAATAAGGGGGGACAGGGAAATCGAGGCTGGAACAAAGGACTCAGTTTCCTTAAAAACTCCAGCCTGTGAGCACCACACGCTCCTTTCTTCAAGGTGGGTGTGCAGTTCCTATGCTGTACATTACCTTCGCTTCTCACTTTCTCTATTAAACTTTTGCTTGTGACTTTGTGTTTCATTCAAATTCTTTGCAATGATGTCACAGTAACTGGCATCCGAGGACTACAGTGCTGTCCCAGCTCAATTTGGCCCCCAGTTTCGGAACATAGTGACTGTTACGTAGGGTTGTAGTAGGATGCATTCCTCATATTTGTGGTGATGTTGATGTGAATGCACCTACTATGCTGCTACTTGTATTCAAGTATAGCACATACCACTCAGCACATAGTAGGCTCTCAGTGAAAGCTCACTGACATTCACTGTCATAGTGATTATTCATGATAATGTGGAGGTCAAAGGGTTCTACCCTTGTGACATTGTGTCATTAGAAAAAAAGGTGTTATGGTTTAGATGTGAGGTGTCCCCCAAAAGCTCACAGGTGAGACAATGCAAGAAGGCTCAGAGGAGAAATGATTGGGTTGTATAAGAGTCTTAACCCAATCAGTGAATTAATCCCCTGGTAGGGATTAACTGAGTGGTAACTGGAGTGGTAGGGTGTGGCTGGAGGAGGTGAGACTTGGGGACAGGGTAATGGGATATATATTCGTATCTGGAGAGTGGAGTCTCTCCCTGTTTCCTGATCACCAAGTGAGCTGTTTTCCTCTGCCACACTCTTCTGCCATGAAGTCCTACCTCACCTTGAGCCCCAAGGAATGGATTGAGACCTTTGAAACTGTAAGCCTCCAAATAAACTTTTCCTACTCTCCAATTGTTTTGGTTGGGTTCTTTAGTCACAGCAGTGAAGAAGCTGACTAAAACAAAAGGTGATTTCTTCCATTTCCTTTAAGATGCTTACAGTGCTGTTTTCCTAACCTTGAACATGGTGGTATAGAATCTGAGGGTGCTAGGGCACTAAGACCTTTCTCATGTAGTCAATATTAATAATATATTTATGGTTTATAGGGTTTTGGTTACTCTCTGGAAGTACAAAGAAGCAAGACAAACAAGTTTGCAAAATAAAATCAATAAAATAAAAATAGGCTTTCTCTGGATGTCACTATATTTGTGCTTTATAAACACCTTTGGCTGAGAAGATAGAAAAGGAATGTTTAAATATATACCATAGAAGAATTATGAAAACAGAGAATCAGATGAGAGGATTAGGTACAGAAACAACAAACAAACAAAAAAGCCCCAAGCATGTCAGTTTTGTATGCTACAATGGAACATGCTTTGTTTCACATATGTAGAATTTTATTCTCTGTGGCTATGAATTAGAAAGCATTGGTCAGTCTGGGCACAGTGGCACATGCCTGTAATCCTAGTGGCTCAGGAGGCTGAGGCAGAAGGATCATGAGTTCAAAGCCAGCCTCACCAATTTAGCGAGGCCTTAAGCAACTCAACAAGACCCTGTCTCTCCATAAAATATAAAAAAGGGGGAGGAGACTGAGGATGTGCCTCAGTGGTTAAGCGTCCCTGGGCTCAATCCCCAGTACCGAAAAGAAATCAAGCAAGCATTGGTCAATATGTGGGAAGGAAATGAGGAAAGAGGAGAAACTGAGCCCGTAGGTCTTCATTTTGACTGAGGTACTCTGGGATCAATGAAAAGAGTTTCCAGTAGGTTGGCTTGGGTGTAGTAGTTTTGGAAAGTCCTGTTACTGGGCATACTATATGGGGTTCATAACTTCTCTACCTTTTAGGTTTGTAGAACTTCTGTTTGTCCTGTAAGACCCAAATTAAGTATCTTTTCCTCTTGGAATTTTCCTTGGCTTTCTCCCTGTCTCACTGTCATTTTTGTATTGCCACAGACATATACATTATATGTATTTGTATTGCAACAAGTACATATAAAAAAACCTTATATGTACTTCTTTTTGGTATTTATCATATTATAGATGTCATTATCATTATTAATTAAATATTTTCGCATACTAATGTTTTTTTCTCCTTGAAGGCAGCATTTGTCTTGGGAGTGAGTTAGCAAAGTGCCAAGTACTTAGTGAAGATTATACTATATACTCTTAAATACTCTTGAACAAATGGAAGATGGAATGAATATTTTCTCCTAAATATCCTTCTATACCAGCTCCATTAGATAGATGTCCTGGAGGTTGAAGGATCAAAAGTCTTGAAGACCAGGATTAAGAAAGGAGAATACAGGAACGGCACTGAGAGGAAGACAGGACACCTCCGTCTGTTCCATTCAGTCTAAGATAAGGGAATGATTCCTTTATAAAAGCCAGACTTCACTGAGCAGTGTGTGACCTGGGACAAGTCTATTCAAGTTCCTAATGCTTAGTAGGAAAATAATAGAGAGTAGGGAGAGTAATAAAACCACAAAGTAGCTGAGGGAATTAAATGAGATCATTCCCGTGACACACTCAGCATAGTGCTTGAGAACTTAATCACTCAGTAAATCTTAGTTATTATTATTAGCTGCGCCAGAATGGAAATCTGCAAAAAACACCAATGATAGCAGTTTGTTTAAACATCAATTTTGTTTTATTGTTATTATTATTTGTGGTACAGGGGATTGAACCCCAGGGCCTCTCATATGTTAGGCGAGTGCTTTGCTACTCAGCTCTATGGCCAGTGTTCTATGCCGTTTTTTTATCCTTCATCTTTCTTTACCCTCATAGCTTTAAGAAAAAAAAAAGGTGTAAAAATCACATGTAGGCTGAGGTCAAATGCCTTCTTTTTCTGTTAACTTCCTAAGCCTTTACACTTTAAAATGTACACTATATTTTAAAAGTGTCGGTTTTCTCTCTCTCCTGCAAGCTCAAATATAGAACTTCTTATTGGTCTTTATCAACTCCAAATAATTCTAAATTCTGCAGCTTCTAAACTGCAAAAGTGAGATAATTCACAGAGAAATAAGATAGGTATATAACAAGATATGTTTGTTTAAATTGTATTTATACATATACATTCCCAGCTTAGTATTTTCTCATGGATATTTATTTTTATTTGCAAATAAAATAATATGCAGATTCATTTCACAATTTGCTCATGTATCTATCAATTAAGAAATGAGGAAGAGAAAGTGGTAACAAGCATATTAATTCTCTAAGTCTGATTAATGTTTTGGGAGTGGGAAAAATAAAACTTAGGTAATCTTCTCTTCAATTTCTTTTATACATTTTTCCTTATAAGCCATTAGCAGGAAGAACTGAACAATATCTACAAATCTTGAATAGGTAACTAATTTATTTCAATATAAGCAAATGAAAAGTATTACTTATGTATGTTACAATTAAGTCAGATATTTAAGATATCCCCATGTGGAATATTTAAAACCTCTGGATGGATTAGGCAACATCTGGATGTTCATTAAAAAATATTTGTGAACAAAACAAAAATAAAAAAATAAGCAATTAAACTAAAGTTATCAGCTATTATCAAACAAATGTCAATATCTTCTCCTTTCACATAACATGCAAGATTGGGTTTTGAAAGGTAATTCTGACAGTTCCAGAACAAACGCCTCTGAACAGAATTCTCTGGTTTTAGGAAACAGGTGATGGTTGAATTATCACTCAAGAAGAAAATGGAAAACTATTCAAAATACATCTTCAGTTTTATTGGGAAAACATGTATTGGGTATTTTGTTTTGGGCTTCACTTTTTCAGAAATTTATGATGGGCAGCCTTCTATTATTTCCTCATTTCGTGGTCAGTTCTTTCTAGGGAACAATAAGGGATTAGAAGTACATTCTTCCCATGGAGGACCAGAGAAGACAGGTGAATTTAACACCACTTCTTTTCTCATCCAGTAGCAATTACCCTGATTGGGGGAAAGTTGCATCTTGGTGTCTCTTTTTTTTTTTTCTCCAGGGACCAAGGTCCGAGTCTCACTGTCAGAGTCACTCTCCCACCTGCCCAAACCCCATGGAACAGTTTTGCTTCCAGAAGCCACACCAGAGAAAGACGTCTTCCTAGGAGATGCAGGGCCACTCACCGATGCTCACAGAAGAAAACAAAGAGAATAGACCTTTCTCAACCATTCCCAAATCTCTCCCTGAGGAACTTAATATGCTTTTTAAAATGAATATTTTTCAGATGGAAGGTTGTCTAAATACAAAAGAATTTCAGCGACTGGATTGGCAGACACACTCCTCGAATTGGATTTACCTGTTTAAGCCACACGTTTGTTGTCATCAGTTGATTCTTTTCATCCTAAAAAAAGGACAATTAAAAAGATTCTATAAATTTAAATGGAAGGAAATTTATATGTTTGTCTTTTCATTAGAAAGAACTTTCTGTGAGTAACCAAATTATATCATGTACATGTATGAATATGCCATAATGAATCCCACTATTATGTGTAACTATAATGTATAAAACTATAAAAAAACAAGAACAAAAAAATAATTTAAAAAGAGGAAGAAAGAACTCCCTGAGTCTTACCTTAGAGGTATTCATGAGTCTCAACTTAAGAACAGTTAAATAACATGGGATCTTAACCTATTAGCCATATTTTGCTTGAGATGAAAAATAATTATTAGAACAATTAGCAGTTTATTGTGGCAATGCTTATATAAAATTGCACATACAGAAGGCATATTAATGGTACAAAATAGAAGGAGGTATTAGCTTGACTGAAGATGAACTCTGCATGATTTTCTAGAAAGAATGAGGCCAGCTGTAGTGGGTGAGATAGGGGAGGGGGGAACTTGTGCCACATGGGAGGATTATTTTGAGTCTTTGGGAACCAGATCAGGATGATTCTGCTGCATTTGGGTTTTAAGCTCATTGATTTTTCTAGAACATAATCATGGCAGAAGTATGAGTTCAACAGGGAAATGAGCAGAGAGTGGAGGGAAAGATAAGGGGTTTCCCAGGGAGAGAGATGGTCCTTGTTCCATGTAAAGTCACCACTGCCCTGTCTCCCTGCAGGTACAAGCACCCTGCCATCCCAGAGCACAAAGAGAGGAGCTGTGGTCACACTGAATCATCCTTGGGTTTTGCCTTCCTTTGTGTCCAGCTTCCCACGCTGCTAGGAGCAAGGCCTGAACTAGCAACCACGTCCACCTCTCAGCCTTAAAGTCCCACAGTAATAGTGTCACAGTGAAAATTCACTCTATGACGACTTCACATTCTTTCTTCGGGTCATTTCACTGGCTCCATGGGGGCAGATTTTCTTTTCTTCATAAATTATTTTTAAAGTTGAAATGTCAGACAAGGGAAAGAAAAGAGTCTTAGACTCAAAAAACAGGTTATAAGGAATGCATTTTTTGTTTGTTTGTTTAGATTAGTGCCAAGGATTACTCACCACGTCTACAAGCTGAGATATTTTCAATCCAAAGTATACTTTTATGGTGTCATTAGAATTTAAGACAGGGCGAACCCATTTCTGATAACCTTGGAATAAATGTCTGAGGAGGGCATCTTCATTTTCAGCTATTGAACTGAATCCTGCAGCGGCTGGAAGAATCATGAGGGAAACTGAATTAACCTCAGGGGCAGAATGGCTGGTCTAACCTGAACCTTCACCTGTCCTTTCTAAGCAGCCTGATTCCACAGAGGCCACTTAAACAAGAGAGGCTTTTCTTAACCCATTTCCCTGTGTCCACCCCCACCTCCCTCCAAATACACACAACTGAAACCAGAACTTGTACTTTACCCAGAGCTGTTCTTGCTAACAGATTTTCCCCTAATAGGGTGGACAGCTTGTTTTTTTTCTTTCATATCCTTAAACAAAATCTACTGTATGTATGTTGTCATTGTGTGTATGTTGTAGATGAACATGTGTATGTTATCATATGTTTATGTATGTTGTCAGTGTCTTCCCCTGGAGCTCCATGAAGACTGGCACAGGTTCCACATATTCATTTACCCAGCATCTAGAACAGTGCCTGGCCCACAGCAGGTGCTCATTTAATATACAAGGAATCAATGAACCAGTGAAGCAAGACCGTGGGGGCCTTTCTCCATGCACTTGCATATTTTCATTGGACACTTTGCCTTGGCTCTCTCCCTGTTTTCTTGCTTTTTTTTCCTCAGGAAGTCCTCCATTATGAAATCCCTCCTTGATTAGCAACCAGGTTCTCATGCTTTTCTCAGCTCCCAACTATGTGAGAGCCTAAAAAACATCCTGATTTCAGATTGGAACTCTCAAGTAAAGGGATGTCTTGGGAATGCAGTCTAGAGATGAGTTTGGTTTCTTTTCAATGCTGTTCCACCAAATTGAAAACAAGGCTGTATCTGATTGTTGTTTTGTAAATATAGCCTCGTTGTCTATTCAACACCTGTTAATATCCTAAAGCAACTCATTCTGTACCATATGCTTTACCAAAGAAAGTCACTTTTTCCCAGTGAGAGACACATATGATGGGTGAGGATAGCAATATAAGACGTGCCCCAGCTCCCCACAAGATCTACCCAAGAAAAATCCAGATTGTCAGTTGGATGAAAAGCAAAAGAGCACACAATCCCTAGGTGCACGAGTCTTCCACAAGCACGTTGCTAAGACAGTAACAGTTCTAGGTGCAGCCAAAGATTGCTCCACAGGCAGAGATAAGATGGATGAGCTGTCCCCAGCCCCTTTCTCTTTCACTCAGGAAAGCATATTAAAATGCAAACAGGAGAGCTATGCTTATATTTAAAAAGTTAACCCTCCTCAAACTTCCATACTTGGACTGTGAATAGTAACCAGGGCTACATTAAGGAGCAGCACAGTTGGGCAGCTGCCAGCACATCAATCACTGAAAGCCCTAAAATCTTCCTGGAACTTGTAAGGAGAGGGGAGGAATGGAAATTCCCAGAAGCTTTCTGAGGGAAGAGGTGTTCACTTGCTCAGGCAGAAATTCTTGACATGACCCTTGGCACCTCTTGCTTTCTTCTTCCCCACATTCAGTTTTAATGTCCTTCAAAATAGATTCCAACTCTTATTATTTCCTGTCATCTTCAGTGGCACCGCCCTATTCACAAATCTTCTGGGCTGTTTCCTAATTGTTTCTGTGTTCTCTCTCTTGATAGTTCATTTTTCACAGCAGCTAGAGTGAGCTTTTAAAAAACGGAAGAGTTCATTCTCTGGTAAATAGTTTCTCATCAAATGCAGGAGAAATATCGCAAGTCCCTACTGAAATCACGTGAAAGAAAATACAAAAAGAAAAAGGAGGGACTGGGCTGTAGCTCAGTGGCAAAGCACTTGCCTAACAAGTGTGAGGCACTGGGTTTGATCCTCAGCACCACAAAAAAGAAAGGAAGGAAGGAAGGAAGGAAGGAAGGAAGGAAGGAAGGAAGGAAGGAAGGAAGGAAGGAAGGAAGGAAGGAAAGAGGCATGCTGTCCATCTACAACTACAAAAATATAAAATAAAATAAAGAAAATGGAGGCAGACCTCAATGGACCAGAGGGGCACATCTTCGGGGGGAAAATGGCAGCAGGCTACCTTGAGGGTCTGGGTTTTATAAGGCCTTAGCAGAGCCAGGTCATGGAGGAAATAGTTACTTTTGGAGAACCCTTTTGGGGGGCAGGGCCAGGTCATAGGAATTTTGGTGGCAGGATCATTTAGGGCAGGGCAGGAGGGCGGGGAGGGGAACAGTTGTAGATAAGGGAAGTTCACTGAGGCCTATTGTCCATGTCCCTGTTTACCTTACCATGGTCTCCCACATGCTGTGGCCCTGCCTAGGTACTCCCTATCTTCTCCCACTCTGCCCTCATCCCTGCTCCCTAGTCCCCCAGACCTATGTCCTCTTTTCAGAACAAGCCTGGATGCCTGGGCTCTGGGAAGGCTCTTCCCTAGAGAGCCTCGTGGTCCTTCTTTCACTTTGTCTAGTCTTTGCTCAAATCATCTCCTTAGAGAGGTCCTTCCAGGTTATGCTGTCCAATAATCCCTCTCCATTTTCTCCCCTGATGGCATTTTATCTTCCATTAGAGCACATAATTCTGCTGCTCGTTTACTTGGATTTTTATCTGTCACAATGCATAATATCAGTTGCAGAATGTTAGGGACTTCTTTTCCACACCACTCTTTTCCCAGCTCCTAGAACAATTGCTGGGCACATAGTAGTTGCTGAGAAAACTGTTATTGAATGAACAAATACTTGAACAATGCAGTTAGCTTCTTGGCTTCAGTTTTGCTGGGTGGTATTTGGGGAGTCAGGGCTAGAGTTGAATTGCTCAGGAGAAGAGAGAAGCAGAGAGGACATAGCTGTCTTCCTTATCTGAGCTTTACCCTGCAGCAGGGAGCCCACTTGCTTGAAGGTAGAGAATATCTTTTGAAAAACACTCATCTTAGTCTTTTTGTATTGCTATAACAGACTTCCAGAGACTGGGTCATTTATAATGGACAGAAATTTATAGGTTAATGGTTCTGAAAGCTGGAAAGCCTAAGATCAAAGGGCTACCATTTGACAAGAGTCTTCAGGCTGCATCATCCAAGAATGGAAAGACAATGAGAGAGAAAGAGAGGGAACAAGACGTGACCAAACTTGTTCTTTTGTAAGGAATTTACTCCCTTGATAATGGCATTAATTCATGCTTGAAGGTGCCTCATGACCCAAATGCCCCCCATTAGCCTCCGTCTCCTAATACTCTGCCACATTGGGAATTAATTTTCCAACACGTGAACTTCAGGGGACACTCTAGTTCTCTGTCCAGCAGCCATCTCCCTTTTCCCTTGGTAACAGATGCTGAATTTAATCAGGGTTGCATGGTGCCACTTAAAATGTTCATCTCCCAGCATCCCTTACAGGTAGGAATGGCCTATGAATCACATGTGGCCAATTAAGACACAAATGGAAGCTATAAGGTGGGGTTTACAGGGAAGATTGTTAAAGAGGATGGACTCAACTTGATGTGCCCCTCTTTCTTCCTCTCAGGAAATGAGACATGATGCCTAGAGAGTTGATATCCAAGTATATTGCAAGCTTAACTAAAGCTACACGTGCAGGATGGCAGATTAGAAAGTCAGACAGAAGCTTCATCTCTAATAGTCTAGGATTTCAGACAGAAGCTTCATCTCTAATAGTCTAGGATTTCTTATCTCCCTATTTCCTGGTATGTGAGAAAAACAATTCCCTATTTGGTAAGTGTGCATGTGCATCTGACTGCTGCCCTGCCTCAGGCACCACTTGAGTGGTTCCTGGGGTCCCTAAATACTAGATTTCCTTGGGAGTCCCTGCATCCCAGTTTAGCCCAATTAGTACAATTTTCTAAGGACATCCTCTTATAATGGATGGAGACACTCCAGAGATGCTGAGAACTACTGAATAATCATATACCACAGGTTTCTCAGTTAAGACAACCCTAAGCCCTGAATTTGGGGGATTGGAGATGAGCAAGGGCCCAAGAACTTCCCTTCTTGGCAGGAAAATTGCACAGTCATGGAGTTGCATGTTGGGAGGGAAAATCTAAAATCATGATCTTGACATCCCCCATATTTGCCATCCCACAGCTATACCCTCGATGAAAACTTTTGAGTCCTGCTTTTTTTTTTTTTTTTTAACCAGGATCTGAAGGAAAACGAGTGGTTCTGCTCTTCTCCATGTCAGATGGTGAGGCTTCTATCTGAAGCACATAAACCTGTACTGACTGTTAGTGACTAAATATTTGTGTCCCCCAAAAATCATATGCTGAAGTCCCTGATGTGACGTTAGTTGGAGAAAGGACCTCTAAGGTGGTACAGAGGAAAGGCCTTGTGAGACCTAGCAAGAAGTCAGCTATCAAACCAAAAAAAGGTCTTCACCAGAAACTGAACTTGCTGGCATCTTGGCCATGAACTCCCAACTTCCAGAATTACAGTTCTGGAATAAATAAATAAATAAATAAATGCCTACTATTTAGCTAGCTAGTTAATGGTATTCTTTTATGGAAGCCTAGGCTGATGTGCTAGTCATATTTTCATTACTGTAACCAAAATACCTGACAAGAGCAACTTAAAGGAGGGGAAGTTTAATCAGGTTTATGGTTCTAAGGTTCAGTCCATGATGGATCAACTCCATTCCCCTGAGCCTAGGGTGAGGCAGAACATCACAGCTGAAGGGTGCAGTGGAGGAAAGCAGCTGCCTCATGGTGGCCAGGACATACAGACGGAGAGGAGGGGAAGGGCTGTAGGGAAGAAGAACCCTCCCAGGGTACGTCCCAGAGATTCACCTCCTCCAGCCATGCCCTATCTGCCCACAGTTACCACCTGGAGCATTCAAACTAGGATGGACTAATAAGGTTAGAGCTCTCAAAATCTAATCATTTCACCTTCAAACATTCCTGAATTAACACAAGAGCTTTGGGAGGAACACTTCCTATCCAAATATACCAAATCCGTTAATAGCTAAGAAATATCTATTCTGACCCAAACAACAGATCACCCCCACACACTGTCAAAGTTTTTAATGCTTTATCCCTAGTATCTTCAAAGTTTCTGAACCTTTTCAAAAATAGCTGCAGTAGATATAGAAGGTAGGCCTAGACGTGTTTATGTTTGTCTTTCTTGTAAGATAGAATATTATGAGAAAGGGCAAGGGCTTCTCACAGTTGATTCTGAAACCAGAGCCTCAACAAATATTTGATGATGTTTCATGAACAAACAACGAATCAACTAAGGTCAGAAAGGATGTGTTCTGTGACATGGGGGGAGGAGGCAGTGATCCTGGTTCACTACTCCAGGGAATGTAAAATCACAGATGTGCTCAGGATTTCCAGGAAAATTATTGTTTTAAGGATTAAATGGATTCTTGACAAGTCGTGTTGATGAAATTTTCACAAATTGACTCATCTTTTAAATTAATTGGATAAGACCAATGTTCTAAAATGTATCTCAGTGATCTACTGAGGAACCCAAAACTGATCTTAGAAGAGGAGTGGCCCTTCCCGGGGATGTATCCATTTGGGAAGATTGGATTTCACAATTTCAGTGACAGTGAAGAGGAAGAAAAAGAAAAATGATAAAGAAGTGAAGACAACCTGGAAAGGACTTCTAAGATCATCCAAGTCCCTCATTTTATAAGTGTAGATATGGTGGTACTCAGAGGGAAAGTGACTTACCCAAGGTCACCCCACTAGTGAGGGCAGGTGTGGTCTTCTGTCTACAAGGTCAATAATATTTCTACCTGCCCATAATTTTTTTGAACGTTGAGGGGAACAACTGGCTGTTACCTCCACTATGGTCTCTACCACATAAAATTACCTCAAGAATTTTTTTCAAGAATATTCCATGTTTAATTCTAGGAACATGTATTGCCAATTTTTTGTTTTGTCATTAACATTTTATTTTCCAAAATGTTTTACTGTTTGCTATAGTTTGGATTCTTAGTTTCCCCCCAAAGGCTCATATGTTAATGGTTTGGTTCTCAAGGTGGTATTATTGGGAAGTGGAGAACCTTTAAGACATGGAAGGTTCTAGGTCACTGGGGCCATGCCCTTGAAGTGGTATGAGATTCTGTTCCCTTACTCTTCCCTTTTGTTCACTGGTTCATAATGTAAGGGGCTTTCCCCCATCACATTCCTTCTGTCATGTGCTGTCCCAACATGGGCCCCAAGTAACAGGGCCACTCTCTCATGGAGTGGAACCTCCCAAATTTGAGCCAAAATAAACATTTTATCTTTACAAGTTGATTATTTCAGGCATTTTGTAATAATGGCAGGAAACCAATCAACCCACTATTGTTTAAAGCCAGCTACCAGGAAGAGTGCTATTCTAAAACCAACTCACAAATAACATCGTTGGTTGATGGTTTTTTGTAATCCTACTCAAATCTCCTTGTGCTGTGGCTGATGTCTGACACAGAGCACTTTTCCTGGGAGCCTCTTTGTTGGGGACACCACACTGTGATTCCTTTCCTTGGAGAAGAACATACAGTGCTTACAAGGAGGGAGTGTTTCTGCTTCAAATTAAACCATGGTCTCCCCACATTTCCTTGCTTTGAGTCCTGTTCTTCACCCCTTCACGCCCTCCTCCCTAATACACATTTGGTCCAATGCAGCATCTGTAGATGCTGTTTGCTCCATAATAGAGCTTTTCACCATCTCTTTTGGTAAAGAAGAATTCTGTTGCCCTTATCAATCCCTGTTCTTCGCTTCTCCTTCCTCTCCTCCCTGCTTAATCTTTACCTCATTTTTCTTGGCCAAAATATTTCCTTTGAGACCAGACAGGCGACTCCATGGGCAGAGGGCAAGAAGAAGGAGGACCAGAGAGGGCCAGAGAATGCATGCGATCAATGGGGACAGAGATGGAAAGCACTTTGCCTAATGCTATTTATTTCCTCCACATGGAATGCAGGCTGGGAAAGGGTTTCAGGAGAGCACGCTGCTCTTGGCTCTGAATGCTGAGTTCCTTGCCAATCTCGTCACTTGTTACATCAAGAATCTGACAAATATTTATTTAACATTGAGAGGCACTAGACCCAGAGTTAGAGACACGAGTTCTGGTCCTGATTCCAAGCTATGTAATCTTAAGCAAAGCATTGATCTCTCTCCATAAAAATGGGGAGTGGATGATTGCCAGCAGTTCATTTGTCCTGTACTTTCAGGATCTTTGTGTCCATGCAACAGACAGAGTGTGGTCCATTAATGCCTGGACTTTTGCTGCTTTGAAGATACAAAAGAGAGCCATGGTTTAAGATATGCCATTCATTGGGGAATAGCCCTTCACTATGGCTGCTGTTTATCAGAACAGAAAGAGCATCCAGGGGGGTAACTAAAGCTATGGAGGGATTAGAGGGGACTCACTCTCTAAAGCCTAGTGAGTAGGATCATGAGGGATTGGAGTGAGCCCACCAAGGCCAGCTTGAGACAAAGAACTTCTCCTTTGGAACCTAAGGCTTGAGCTTCTGGTCTCTTTATTCCTGGTGAACTTTTCTTTCTTCATGCTCTCAGTGTCCTCTGCCCTCTTATCACCCCCAAACCAACATCCACTGTCGGCCAAATTTTGACCAACTCACCCACGCCAAAGTATAAATAACTGAAAAGGAACTAGGTGGAACTTCCCATGATGGTAGTTTCATTGAAATTAACATCATTGTTTCTCTTCAGTCAGAGAAGAAAAGAAATAACTGAAGAATTACAAACCCCAGCAAGTGTGATTGACTGAGAGACACATAATTTTTGTTTTGACATACATCTTGGTATATCTTGGTTTTGCCTTCCATAATTACCTTCTTAAAAAAAAAAAAAGCATACCATCAATCAGGCAGGCTCTTGTGACAATACATGGAGTGAGCCCTCAGGATGAAGTCAAATAGTAAATATTTAGTGGATTCTTGCTGGCATGTGAACTTATTAGAATGACTTTCTTTTATTCTTTCTTATATTCCTGCATCCTGGAACTATCGTAGGATATAGTAGATGCCCAATGAATGTTTACTGGATGAATAAACAGTCATAAGAATGGTGAGAGGATAAATAAATATAGTTCCTGCTTTCTGGGAACAGACACAAACACACAAAATATGAATCAGCAACATAAGAGATGTCACTCTTTTTTTACCAAAGCTAGACATATGAAAAGTTGAGGATTTTCCCCTACAACTTGAAAAAAGTAGTTTTGTGTGATTAAAATAGTGTCTTTACAATGAGTGGTAAGGTTAAAAGTATTTTAAGAGAAATGATACACATCTAAAATTATAAATAGACTCCAGAGGATCTAGAAATAGTCACAAATGTGAGATCTGCTTACAGAGTGTTAGGTTTATTACAGATCTATGAGAGACTGGTACAGGTCAGGTTTCATTCCCAAACTCTTAAAACTTTCTCCATGGAGAACAAGGTTTCCCTCCAATTCCAAATTTTTATGGAATTCTTATTGTGCATAGAAGATGATATAGAGTTGATCCTAGAGAGTTTATGCTAATTACCCTTGCTAACCAGTGAGATGATTTCTCCAGGAAAAGCAAGGTCAGAATCAATTTTTTTCCCCCAATAAATGAATGCTCTGATAAATTAAGGCAGAAAAACACCAGACTCTTGTACCTTCATTATACGTGAAAACAGAAGTTGATTGATGTCTTTAGTATTGGCAGATTAAGACTTCTTGAAGATAAGATAATGTCCAGGTATGCCTCATAGCCCTATGACTTTTAAGTCTAGGATTTATTTCTCAACTTAGGCAAATTTATCCTACTACCTCCAATTCTCCATCCTAACATTGCAATAACGAAATGTGGTGAAACTAGTGCTGAGAAATAAATACAGATTGCTAATGGAACACCACTTTTCTCACCCTCGGCTTCTTGGCTTCAGATGGTTTCTGATTTCCATGAGAACAGTTTTCTATTCTCAAGTTTACATAAAATGACCACTGTCTCCTGTGCTTTTCAGTCTTTCCTTTTCTCCTACATTTCTCCCTTTATTCTCTCTTTGCTCTTTTGGCCTTTCTCACTTATCTTTTATTTGTCCTCTTTCCTTATCAAAAATTCCTCTATTTTCAGATGAATAACAGTTATGGTAATACACACATGTTGAGAAACATTTGATATTTTTTTGTTCAATTGTGATATACAAATAGACCAAATCTTCCCATGTACACAAAGGTATGAAAATATTTATAGACATCTACAGGACCTACTGGACAAAATTAAATATCAACACACAGACCTAGTAATTCCTAATTGATATGATACAAAAATGTTGATATAAAAATTTCTATGGCAAATATTTTAACAATCCTCTGAGTAGCCATCTGCATTCAGTAATATTTGCCCTGCTTTTAATACTTCCTACCATGCTCACAATGATTCAAAAGGAGTAATATACAATAAATAGCCAGAACATAAACCTTATGGAATTTATAGTTGTGACTTATTTAGCAATATTCAGATTACATAGAATTATCCATTCAAGCCACATTCTAAAGATTATCCTAGAGACGTGCGCCCGTTTGCAATTTCAACACGAGCAACACTGTAGTTTTGCTTTCTTTGCTTAAATAATTCTACAATCACAGTTTAATTTAGTTTAACTTGAGCTTACCTGAGAGAGTGATGCTGAGGATGAAAGGTACAGGCACAAAATCTGTTAGCATCATGATGTCTGTTTGGGAAAGATAATTTCTTCCTCCTTAAACACAGAGCATTTCCATTGCAAAAGGAGGTTTTGTAAAGAAAACACAGTGGTTCAAAGTCAAGATAGAACCCAAGGGGATAGTAACCACCTGCAGTGAGATTAAAATAGTCTCCAACCATATCGCTTTAGCGTGATGTTTCCTAAAGTGCATTTCATTGATTTCCAGTGAGCTGTCAGGTCCTGTAAGTCTAAAACATATCTCTGGGTCCTAACTCCTGACTTATTAATTTATTCTCTTGCAGAAAGATGCAGAGTGATAGAAAAAGGACCAAGCTAGGCAACTTTGGGATGCTCCATGATTTTGTTTTTTATGGTTGGAAGATCTGTGTAAAAGCAAAAAAAAAAAAAAAAAAAATCTGCATTTTATAACCTCCAAAATGCAACTTTATAACATGCAAGTTAGTGAGAAGTTTCCTATACTTATTATTCCTCTAGTGTCTTTTCATTTTGGACTTGGAGCTTACAGATAATGGATATATCTGGCAGCCTCCCTTGTCTAATGGAGGCTGTATTTTAACATTAGAACATTCTCGGAGTTTCCCCTCAACCCACCAGACCATCTCATCCTAGCTACAGAAGAAACTATGGTAGGAATTTGGACTTGTGTTCACTTATGAGACTGTAATGCCATCCTTTCTTTGTTTCACCTTCTTCACAGTTGATCAGATGTCATCTCGTTCAGTACTGTACACCCCTAGAGGGCCCTTAATAAATGCAAATCTAATGAATGGACAAGTGTAAAGTTAGGGCTACAAAGACAAGACAGCCAGGTGACAGCAAAGAGTTACCCAAATGGGGACAGACTCCCAGGGCAACATTCTCCAGGGCACACATGAATTCAATTTAGAGAGGCTGATTTAGTCCAATTTTAAAATTTCTCTGTGATGTCTCATTAAACCTCCATTATGTATGTTAGTCAGCTTTCTGTCACTAAAACAAATAGCTGAGATAATGAACTTATAAAGAAAAAAAGGTTATTTTGACTCATGATTTTGGAGTCCCTAGTTGTTGATCAGTTAGTCCCATGGCTTTGGGCCTGTGTTGAGGCAATACATCATGGTGGGAGGGTGCAGTCTTGCCGTGTGTCATTGCCAGCTTCCAGACATCCAGAAGGTGCTCTGCAGGGAACCATATGAAAAAAGCCCTGCCTTGGAACTGGGAGACTTGAGCTCTTGAGTCTCCCAGCTTTCCTTAGGTTCTACCTCTCCATACTCCTGTCTCAGAGAGCACTCTGACCTCAGGGCCAGGGCTCAAAAGAAAGAAAAAGAAGAAGGGGTCCCACTATCCCTTTCAAACGCATGCTCCCAACACCTGCTACTAAGCCCCACCTCTCAAAGTTCCTACCACCTCCAAGAGCGCTACCTTGCTGAGCAAACCTTTAACACATGGACCTTTGGGAGACATTAAAGATCCAAATAGAGCAGTGTACCATTGCCAACTTTTGGGCATCCAGATGGTGCATCATAGAATTATCATGTAGTGAAAAGAATTCTGGCCTAAGAACCAGGAGACCTGAATCTACTGTCCTTCTTCTGACCCCACCACTTTGTACGCCAGCCCCTCCTGCTCCAAACTCTTCCCTGCCTGCCCTTCCCCCTAGACCATGAGCTCCTAATGGAGGCCTGAGTTCTTTCCTCCTGATGTCTCCACTGTGTCTCCAGTGCCTGTCACATGCAGGTGTTTCAGTATATCCTTGGACAAAGGGAAAGAGGAAAGAATTATGCATTGATTTTTCCTATTCATCTGAATTGTGTTGCAATTCTTTTATGAATTTATAATTGACTAGGATTATATTAGCCATCCCTCATCCAGGTATGCAGGAAGCATCACCTTTCTTTTTGATAAATCAAATAAAAGGAACTTGCCATTCTCCTGAGGCAAGAAATCCAATCTCAGTCATCAACAGGCCTCCATCACTTCCCCTGGGGAGGCAAAAGAATCTGAAAGGCTTTCATGGTCTCAGTATCTCCACAGTGGCCAGCCAACATGATCTTTTGAAATCAGCAGTTCTGCTACCCTTTGCCCAGTCTGATGCCCAGCATTCTGCCAAGACCAGAAGCCTTGATGGTGATCAGCTCCTTCCTCTCTGAGCTTTCTGAAGACTACTGCAGTTTCCCAGGGTGTGCCAGTGGGGCATGGTCCTGATGCTACAAGTGTTAGAGGGTTAGAGCCTTCCAAGAAACTGAGGCAGTACAAAGTTCCTCCTTCAAACTCCAGTTCTTGTGACCAAGTCAGAAATATTTCAGACATGTCACTCTGAATAACAGGCATGAGTTTATTGAAGTGATAGGAAAAGGGGACACTATTAAGGGAGAGAGGGTTCTCTCAGAGAGAAGAGGGACAGTGTGCCTCTCCTGCACTCCAGTTTTACTGAGAATTTCAGAGAAGTTTCCAGAGAGTCCTGCCTAGGTCCACCTCTTGGCTTTTGACTCATAGCAAGATGACATCAGACTTTCAAGTACCCATTGCCATGACAACTCTAGGTCACTTTGACCCATGCTGGCCGGTTCTAATTGGATTCTTAACCAGACATTGTTAAATAGTTTATGGTTAGAAGGAATTATCCTTATCTCCTAGAGTTTCAGAATCTGGTCTGTGAAAAGGGTCACAAAGTTCTACCCCTTCTGGGTAACTTGGGTTCCTCTTATTGACTTCTTTCCCTGCACTATTCACAATCTGACAACCTTTCAATAATCACTGTTCTTATTGTTTATGGAGTTTGGAACATTATGGTTTTTAAACAAGTGTCAAATTCTTTTTTGAAAGCAAACCATGAAAGCCCAGGTCTCCTGGAAAAAGGTTTTGCTCTTTCCCTGGGTTTGGCATTACAAAGACTTGGGGGGGGTGGGGGGGGAAAGACTATGAGGTACAGGACTTGGGTGCCCCCTGGTGGACTATAGATCACACTGCAGATTCACATACACTCCTTTTTTGAGGGGAGGCATAATAATTACACAGAATATCGGGTTCCATGCTGCATAGTCATACTTGCACATAACAGAATTTGACCAATTTTAAAAGTATGTCTGATTCACATATTATTTGTTCCTTAATTTTAATTTTTGGTTTTTGAGACAGGGTCTTGCTAAGTTGCTCAGCTTCCTGAGAGCCTGGGATTAAAAGCCTATGATACCATGTCCAGCTTGTTCCTTAACTTTTAAATAACAAATATAATAACCTACCTAAATTTAAAAAAATACCACTTAAAGGAAAGTGAGAAAACAAGAGATGGGCAAGTGAGAAATGAAGGACAGAGACCAGGTAGAGATCCAAACAAATAAAGACCATCTCTCTATAGAGTGGAGAGAGGCACCCGAGATGTTTGGGTGCTCAGCTTTTGTCGGGTAGGGGTTTGGAATTGTAGCTGTGGTGCTAGGGGATAGGCTAGGGGGTGCTTGTGTCAGAGCTAGGCGGGCGGGGAATAGCATGGGATTGGTTTAAATCAATGGCACCATGGGGCTTTCCAGAGTCAAGGGGTCATGTCCTTCTAGGATTGGCTTAGGGTTATGGTACCATGGGGTAGGTCACTAATGGGAGTGGGGGGAGTTTGGGGAAGAGGAAGTACAGGAAAGCCAAATTTATCTCATAAAATGGCAGTTAACATTCAAGATGGTGCTCAGATATTAAATCAAGACCCCCCCATAACCACCAACAGATAATGGATTGTCTGTGGAAGGAGTCAAAGGGCTCTCCCCTTACCCTCCTCCACACAACTCTTAAGCCTGTGGGAACCTAGAGGAGCTGCAGCTCTGAGGCCTGGAGAAATCATGAAGGTGGATGTGTTGATGCCCAGCAAGTCATAGAACTGAAGCACCCAGCCAAGGCCCCAGGAACCTGGGGGGTATCATGGGAAGAAGGATACAAACAGGAAACAGTCTCTATAATGGACAGCAATGTTTTCCACGCCTACCTCTGCTGCCCACTTATCTGGGGAGCTTTGAGAAATAAACTTTCCTGGATCTGTTCCCAGGAATTCTGACTTAGAGGGTCTGGAATGGGGCCCATGTGCTTGTGAAGAGAAGCCAGGTTACAGACCACTGACCGCTAACTGACATCTGCTTCCAAGTTAAACCACAGGAGAAAACAGCGGTTGACAGCCCAGCCAAACCACATCAAACCACCACAAAGAAGGAAGGGGCCAGGCGGGTGCCCTCTTGGCCACAAGGACCTAGGCTGTAGAAGGCCCTCCAGCTACAGTCGTAGGAAGACTTCAGTGCCCTCAGGACGATGGGGCGATGGAGCGTGGCCACCCAAGGTAGAGAGGGTTTCTCACTGTTTGCCTTTCACTCTGAACCTGTGTTCTTTCCATTTCTTTTCTGAGGCTTTTTGCTTCATTCTGTTTGAAGAGCACAAGTGTCCTTTGCTCCTGTCGTCATCACCCCCATCATTCCTCAGTATTTTTCCTGGTCAGGTAGGGGCAGGTTTGTCAGGCCTGAGATTTGGTGTTTTCAACAAAATAAACCAGGGGATTAAAGAAGCTTTGTCTGAACCCTTCTGATGGTGGTGCTGGCCAAACAGGCTGCTGCAGAGGGTGGCCTCCTGGCCCCAGATAGGCTTCCCTGGGTGTCCAAGACTAAAGTGAGAAAGTGATGGGGTCAAACCATAAGGCCAAATCTGGAAATGGAAGCATAGGGGAGCCATGAGCAAGAAATGGGGGCTGAACCTAAGAAACTAGCTTGGAGATTAGGAGAACTTAGAAAAGGTGGTAGGGAGGCGGGTCAGGAGGGAGCAAGGGAAAATGCCCTGGACTTCAACATTGAGGACACACAGCTGGAAGCCCAAAGGTCATTTTGTTGATGGCTGGACTCGTGATGTGTGGGTGAGTTGCCCTGATTAATAGGACTGGACAGGGGGTGGCAGGTAAATAATTAGTAATTATTATCTATGAAAGGATTAGATGTTATGGAAAGAACACTGTCCCAAGAGTCAGAAGCCCAGACTTTGACCCCATGATAATTGTATGACCTTGGACAAATAACTTTTGGTGATATCAGATTTCTCATTAATCCAGCAGAGTAGCTGGATTAGATTGGTTGTTCTCAATCCCAGCTGCTCATTAGAATCCCTTGGGGAGCTTTTAAAAAC